TTAAGCACATGGTTTTAGAATACAGAAGTTCTGTATCTGGATTTCTGTAAACTGCATAAAGCTAGTAGCCTGTCATGATTGCGATTGTTATTTTCCAAGCAACATGGTAAAGGATCTCCTGTAGATACCTCCTCGAGTAAGTTGTCCAATGTAGAAAACGTTGAAGTCAATTTCAATATTTCAATTTCAATACTGTTTGAGCCCATTCAAAATCACAAGAAGTTTTATTCAAGCAGACCTATCTTCATTTTTGATTGTTTTGGCTTGATGGAGTTCACAGAGCTTACTGAGGAGTCCCAGAGAGTTGATATGGCTCGTAACAGTCCATATGACTTGTGAAGCTTTTTTGTTAGAGATGAAATGGGTTGGAGGATTACCCTCGATTTTATTCTTCTTTTTTAGTCTTAATATGTGGGTCCTTATCGTAACTTACTGTTAGTGCCTTATGTAAATAAATAAAGGCTAATGAAAGTGCATCACTGGGTAGGGTAGAAAGCAGTAAACTTCTTTTTTCTTTCAGGTTGTCTGCGTTCCGTTGTGGATCTTGATGTCCTTTCTCTGCCTGGTGGTGCTCTATTACATCGTTTGGTCTGTTCTGTTCTTGCGTTCAATGGATGTGATTGCTGAGCAGAGGAGGACGCACATCACAATGGCTGTCAGCTGGATGACAATTGTGGTTCCTCTGCTCACCTTTGAGGTAGGATGAAGTGTAAGGAGTTTTGTGTATCTTCTTTGTTCAGTGAGTAATGAATATTGTGTGTGCTCTCTCTCTCTCTCTAAACTTGAAATTAAGATGCCCTGTTTTGTTTGGGAATAAATATAAACTGTAAATAGGAAAACCAAGAATCATGTTTTTGTTTGTGTGTGTGTGTGTGTGTGTGTGTGTGTGTGTGTGTGTAAAATCTGTTTCACAACGAATCTGCTAATTCCTCTTTCTGTAGAGGCCATTTTCCTTAAATTTCTGAAGCTAAAGGTCCAAGATCACTGCATGTTTTAGAGAACTTTGGAGATGAATATTACAAACTGATATTATTTTTTTTTCCTGTTTAGATTTTACTAGTACACAGACTAGATGGGCACAATTCTTTCTCTTTTATACCCATATTTGTTCCTCTGTGGCTTTCACTGATAACTTTAATGGCAACAACATTTGGGCAAAAAGGAGGAAATCACTGTAAGTATTTATTAATTGATGCTACGGATGTTGCAGTTTGGTGTTTTTTCACAGCAAGGCAATTTAACTTAATAGGATTTTTCAGAGATGAAAAGAAGCTGCATAGAAAATTGTTCTGGGTGAATTTTCATGCTGTTGATAATTTGCAGCCAAATTAGTTTGGAAAGGCAAACATCCAATTTATCTTTTGTTAGGGTTGTATGATATATGAAGTAGAGCAGTTGGTCATCAGGTATAATCTCTGTGAAAAGATGGGTGTGGGTTTTATAGGCAAATCTTTAATTATCTTAACTTGGTTCACTGAAAGGTTTGACTTGGGGCAGACTGCTCAACGCTGACCTTGGTATTCATTGACAGAAGAGTGCCATCTACTGAATCACAAGTGGCACTTCATTAAATGCTCTCTTTCAAATGTTTAGATAGAAAGTACATGATAAACAGAAGAGGTACTGTTGTTTTAATCTAGAATAAATGCGGAGGATGAGATGCTACTCTCTAGCTAACAACAGAAGTATTTGGGGAATACTGGACACGTAGCCTGACATACATTAGTAAATCTATGTCATTGCAGCATCTCTGGTACTGTAACCTATGCATATCAGTGAAAATTGGCATGAATGTCTTCTCAGGTGGCAGTTTTTGATTGCTGGAGTGATGCAAGGCCTTTCTTGTTCTGTTTATTTACTGATGTGCTGCTTAACATGAATTGTACTGGCTTCTTGCTATAGTGTATAGCTGTAATGTGTACATGTGCACACACACTTGTGTATGTATCACCTGACCTGTAATGTTATGGCTGCTGTCAGTGATGCTGAGAAACAGCGCTAACGTAAATTTTAGATTGCTAATGAAAACAGTCAGGAGAACCTAAGAAGGCAGATGAAGCAGTCTTGGTTTCTTCAGTTTACTTCTAACTGTTTGCAGTCATGTGAAAGGTGGTGGTTTGTTTGGTTGTTTTTTTTAGGGTGGTTTGGAATTCGCAAAGACTTCTGCCAGTTCCTGCTTGAGATTTTCCCATTCCTACGTGAATATGGAAATATTTCCTATGATCTTCATCACGAAGATAATGAGGAAGCAGAAGAAACCCCAGTTCCTGAGCCACCAAAAATTGCACCGATGTTTCGAAAAAAGACTGGAGTGGTCATTACACAGAGTCCTGGGAAATATGTGATTCCACCTCCCAAATTAAATATCGATATGCCAGATTAAGATGACAACAGCCTGTTAAAACTGGAACTGGGAATCAACAGACAAATGCAGTTCATCTCATGCCTCGTCCCAATTAATTTAAAATAGCTTTTGCTTGATTCAGTGGCGCGGATCACAAAAATCGGAGATCTTGAAGATTGAGAGTTTTTCCACAGAGATTTTGTGAACCTCCCTAATGGTTCACTTGGCACACATGCCTGTATAGTATTTATATGAACATTTTAGCAGTGTAATATATTGTTTAAAAGTCTCGTCCTGTACAGTATAAGTATTATCTAAAAGTATTTTTTTAAAAAGCCTGTATGAAATGCCTGTTCTATTCCAAGTGTCTTTCGGGTTATAAATATATGCTCATTTTCCATGTCTGTGCTGAGTAGTTGTGGATGTCTTGATATAGTACCTCTTTTTTCTTTTCTGCTCAGCCACAATCATTAGTTTAATTTTGAAAGCACTGGTGTGTTGTGCTTCTGAGGAAGGACTGGAAAGATTCTGGGGAGGAAATCGAATGTATAGCAGCTTACTTGATGCTTTTGAGTTAGCTATGTAGATTGGTACATATTTCAGTTTTTGCAGTGGCTTGGGAGTGAAGTTGCTTTTCCAGGTTCACTTTCTAACTCCTCCTGAGCATTATGTATGCCACCCTGTCATTAGTTTGGCTGTTTAATAAACTGTTGCCTCTTGCATTGTGTGCGTAATCTATGCCAGAAAGATTAGTTTTCAGGTTGGTTTGCTGATATAAATATCTTAACTCAGTCTTCATTACCAACTTTTTTGTATGGTATCTTTAGTACAGATGATTAAACTTGAAAATAGGAACTGGTCCATGTTGGTATAGTTTTTTTCATTTGAGGAGAGATCTGCTTTTACTGGTTTACTTAGCATCCAGCTGATTTCAAGAAATTAGTCTTTGAAACCTATATTCCATTAAGTTCTACCACCTACCATCAGCTGCCTGTACCTTGTACTTCCTCTTTCTGTTTGCACAAACCCACGGCTTATTTAAATATCATGGATCATATTTCCTCTCTCTTAGTATGGCAGTGATATAAGAGTGTATGGACACTTCTGTGTGTATGAAAGGCCTTCAACTGAAAAGCTGCAAAGAACTTAATTTCTAGTGCTGCAGCCCACCTTGTTCCTCCCTTCTCAGTTGGTGCCATTTGTTCCTAGTGGCCTGGCTAGCAGGATGCAGCCCAGCTGGTGCTGTAACTACCTTCTGCTGAAGGAGTCAGCTAAGCTGAGGAAAAAATAGAGCTTTCTTTACCAGGAGGTCTTCTGAACAAGCTAGTTAACTTGGCAGACTCAACTTCTGTCCTAGTATGTGACAGAAGAGAAGCTTCTGGTACAATCTCAGGAACTCCAGTTGAAGAGGCTTTTCCATCAACCTCAGGTAAAAAGAATGTGCTTAATTCTACTAGGGAGAGCTCTATGGGAGCTGGTAGCTTTCCATATTTATATATATAAAATAATAATAATAATAATAATAAAATAAAATATGTTAATATTTTTTTTAAGCAGCCCTGGAACCTTTCTGGAAGCACTCCATTTCAAACTCTCCAGTGAGATGAGGACACTGTGGTGTGTGGTATCTAGAACAGCTTGAAGAGGAAGTGCAAGTAAGGAGAGGGCTGCTGGGATGTTCTGAAATTGGAAACATGAAACATTTCACTCATGACCTTCATCTCTGGGGATTCAGCAGAAAATACTTCCAAGCTTTGGCATGTTCAAAAGCTCTCTAGATGGAGCAGCAGCTGGGAGGCGTATGTCGGATCCTCTTTACGTGAGCTAATTTCTCAGAACACTCTTGTGTGGCACATTTATGCTCAAACAAGCTGTTCTGAACCTGTGAAAGGGAGAGAATGCTCCTGAAAGTTCTTTTTAATATATTATGAGATTAAAATTTTTAGTTCTTCAATCTTGAAATGGTGACAACTGTCTCCTTTGCATTTTATACTGATGTTTCTAGTGCAGCCCAAACTTAATAAGGATTGTCCAAAATGCAAGTAAAGCTTTGGTACAAGAAAGGAAGAGCATATTCCCTGCATCTGCCCTGTGTCCATAGTGGAATAAATGCCACCCAGGGAGAAGCAGGGATGTTCTGCCTGCATGGGGAGCTGCTCCGTTCTCAGCAGCTCCAAGGCAAGACATGCAAATGTTCAAATAATCTGTCTTAATAAAAAGTGTTCTCCAGTTCTGTTATCCTTTTTTGGGTTTTTTGTTTTTTTTTTGAACTGGAATCCTGCTTAGCTCCTAAAAGAGAACAGCTTCAGACCAAAACTAAGGGGTGAGTGTCACTGGCTTTCACTGAAGAGAATGTGTGGGCTTGCTATCAGGAAATAAAGTTTCATTCAGAAATGAAAATACTATGGTAATGCCTTTGTTCCATGTGAGGAAAAAGAGTTCAAGATCAGTGTATGAGATTCATGTAATCTTTTAAGCAATTGTTTCCCAGTGGTGGTTTGTAATTCCAAACTTGAAGAAACTGCTTCAGATTTAGCAGCTGACTGAGAGGTCTAGTGTTTGTTAGTTCTTTATATATATATGTATATATAACCAGACACACATGCATCACACAGCATTAGACTGGATTTTAAATTGGAACGCATTACCTTGACCATGCATTACAAAATTATGATTTATTTACACTTGTATGTACATAAAACATCTAGTGAAACGTGACTCATTTTCACTAATGATCATAAAAAATGGCATCTTGATTCTCTCTCTTCAGAATAGCAATTCTTCAAGCAATTACTTTTGGAAGGAATACTGTTCAATTCACCCTAAGAAGGCGATCTGTCAAGAAGTTTGCACTTAGACAGAAGAAAACACAGTGTGGGGCAACTCCTATGATGCTGAAGGGATCAATTCATCAGGGATGTCGACCTGCCACACTCCTCTGCTCCCTTTTGCAGGGATTGGTTCCAGAAGCCATCTTGGATTTGAAACAACAGTCAGATATTTCTGTTCTAGATTACTGAGAACAGCTTTGTTTTCCAGCTCCAAAGTCTTTTCAGGAGGTACATCTTCTGGATACAAGGATGTCTCTCCAATGTCAATTAATCCTGTATCAGAAAACAAAACAGTTTGAGAAACTAGAAAAAAGTTTTCCAAAAGTAAAACCTCCCAGAGGACATACAAAGCTGCTGATTTATGCTGCCGGAAGAAGACAGTACAAAATATGCACACCTTAAACAAGTGTCGGTCGTTGCAGAAGACAGCTTGTTGCAAGAGGGAATTTCAATGTTGTTTAAAGATTAAAAATACTAAATTACCAAGGAAGCTTTTACAACTACCCAGTTTAGCATGCAGTTTACATGAAGGTTACCAATCCACACATTCCTCAGTACCTAACAATTTTTAGCACCACAGAACCAGTCTTCTGGAACAAGCAATAGAAGGAATTGCTAAAAATATGCAAATGAGAATCTGAGATACAGGGTGTGAAAACTGAACTGATACCTAGAAGGAATGTTTGACACACACTTTGTGAGTATTCAGAGCAGTAACACACATTATTCTTCCTGTTGGAAATATCCAAATAATGTATCAGGACGGTATCTCTGATAAAGCAGATTTTATTCGCAGTTGCAATGTTGGGCCTCCTGCAAGCAGGAGAGCTTGCAGAAAGCAGCCTTACATCTTTTATGCCCCATTACTCTACGCTGATATCTTTCTCCCCTGGTTCCTCGTTGGCTGGGTACTTCAGGATCACAACCTTCCTGACACTCAACTAAACATACGGATACTGGCTAAACATCAATTGCTGCTAGCTAAGCATATATCACTAATTAGTTAAGTTCTCACATTTGCTCATTCAACACTTGGTCATTGTTTCTAGACATCTGCTCGTCCTTGCATAGAGATAAGCTTGGAAGGAGGACAGGGGGGAGTATCTTGATGCCTGCCTGTTGCATCCCAACCTACCCACACAGCCAGGCAAGCCAGCCTTGTGCAGAGGCCCTGGCTTCTCTGATGTTTGTTAAGTCTGTTTTTCTTTTGCTGAGGGTCTCTTATCCGAACAGAATAGCCCTACAATATGCTTTCTAGTCCATAACACTATACCTATGCTATTTGGAACATTTAAAAACTATTGCAGTGTTGCAAGCAAAAATTAATCACAATTCAGCAACTATATTTCTAACATAGATGGTATTTCTACTTTTTCACAACAGCTATTTCTAAGTTACAAAATACAAATACACTGTGCTCTACTTCTTCAGATGAATTTCCCTTTTTAATATCTAATGCAGAAACAACATTCCATTCCTACATTCTGCACAAAATAATTCAAGAAGCATCACTCTATCCTAACTTTGTACTACAGAAATAAAATCATTCGCTGCCCAAGTAATAAGGCCGATAGAGCAGCTGTAGAACTGAAACAGAATTGATCTAACATGACATGAAAAGCAATGCCATACCACAAGTTCACTTGACTGTACTGCACTGCAAAACGCTGCAGGATTTCATATGCTCAAAGATGTAATAAAAAAAGTGGAACTGCCACCCTGCCCAGAGCTGCTCAGCTCGGGGAGCAGCATTGCCCAGCACAGCTGGATGGCGACGCCGTGACGAGCCCGGCTGTGCAAAGCAGGCACCCGTCCGAAGAAAACACGCCGAGATGAAAAGCTTGCTCGGAAATGCACGGCCCACAGCTGCCCACCTGCGATAACTCCTCTGCCGAACTGCTCCCCTTTTTCCAGCAGCTCCTGCACCTCCTGCAGCGTCATTCCCAACCTATCCAAAAGAATCGCCCTCCACGACTCATCCTCCCAGTCCTTAACGGCGATATGAACAGCCACGGTGCGGTTCCGGTACTTGGCGAGCACCGGCCGCCAGCGAGTCTCTATGGTCTTGATCCGGTTTAAAACCAGCCCAGCGTAGGGCTGGCGGAAGGAGAGGCACCCGACCTTCATCTCTGCTTTCATCGGCAACCGCCGGGTTTCGGATACGCAAACGCTGCGGGCAGCACCCCGCTATCGCCGGCCCTTAGCCGGCCCTCACCGCCCAGCACGGCGCGGCCAACCCCGCTCCCGTTCCGCACCGCGCTCAGGGCTGCCGGCGGAAGGAGCGAGACGGGGCGGAGCGGCGCCGGGCGGCAGTGGCGCTGCCGAGCCGAGGCGCTGCCGCCTGCTGGATGGCTGAGCGGGGAGGAGAGCTGCGGGAGCTGCAGGGAGGAATAGTAACGCTCACACGCGGGAATGCGACCGAGCTCGCCGACGGCGAATCCTGGCTGCGGTGGCTTTTAGCGCTGTGTGAAAACGCGTTCTAAACCACGAGAAGTCTCAAAATAGCGGGATCTCAAAGGCAGGAAGAGAAGGATGATCCGGTAGAATCAGAGACGGGCCGCTCGTTTAGTTGAGAAAGGCAGAGGAAGTTCACCGGCGAAGGGTAAGATCGAGAGGATGCTTTTGTTCTGTGCGGTTGTTTGTCAGCGCTGTGTAGCAGCGGGGCTCCGCCGTCACCGCGCGGCTCTGCAGCCGCCCAGGGCAGTGGCGGCGGGGGTTGATGAGCGGCGCTTTAGGGGCTTCTTCTGCTGAGCACTCCCAGCGCACCATCGGTGGTTATTTTGTACGCTGAATTATTTAATGGCTGATAGCATTTAAATGCTGAGAGCTCATTTATCATATTTCTGTTGTCTGAGTTTCCTTTTTTTTTTTTTTTCCTTGGACACTTCATAGAATCATAGAATCCTTAGAGTTGGAAGGGACCTTTAAAGCCCATCTGGTCCAACTCCCCTGCAGCGAACAAGGACACCCACAGCTCCATCAGGTACTCAGGGCCTGTCCAGCCTGACCTTGTGCACCTCCAGGAATGGGGCACCAGCACCTCCCTGGGCAACCTGTGCCAGTCCCTCACCACCCACACTGTAAAAGACTTTTTCCTTACATCCAACCTAAATCTACCCTCTTTAGGCTTGAAACCATCTCCCCTTGTTGTGTCACAACAGACCATGCTGAAGAGCCTGTCCCCTTCTTTCCTGCAGCTAATGAAGTGTTCCAGATGTTCCAGATGGAATCATTTCAGCCCTTTATATAATGTCATATCAGGAGAGAGTAATGGATGACGTGAATTTAAGGTCGTTGTAGTTTTTACGGGGTTATTATTTTAAATGTCCCTTAGCTTTAAGCTATTTCCATCTTACTAGACGTGCATTAGTTGAGGAACCTGTTGAATCTGATTAGCATTGCAAGTATGTAATAAGCTTTTGTGCTTTTTCTTGTATTTCAGTATTTTTCCCCTGCATTATTCGTTTATATGAGGGCTCAGGGGAAGTTTTCTTCTGTGTTTTATGCTTGGTTTGCTTTACTCTCATAGAAGTTTTAGCAAGATGTGTATGACGTTTGGTTGCACAAATAAAATATTTTTTTTTCCTGATTGAAGCAAAAATCTCACTGTTAATTAAGCTCTCAAGTTTAACAATTTTAAGTAAAATGTGAATGGCAAAAGACTCATGCTGTTACTAAGGGTGATTAAATGTTATGTCAGAGAACTGCCTGTCACGGTTTGTAGAAACCTTGTCCAGCACACTGTGACATTCACTAGAAGACTGAAAAGCAATTAGCAGCAGCACGTAAATAAGGCCGTGACATGGTCTCGTTCTGTGCATGTGCATTAGCACTTGGTGTGGTGAGTGGAAAGCTGACTTTAGTGGATTTAGTGGGATGTAAGACAGCCAAGCAAGCATTCTGATCTTGGCAGATGATCAGCTTATTTTGAAGATCTTAAATCCACATGATTTTTACACCTTCGGCTCCTTCAGATTCTAACACCAATTTATCTATTTGCAGAACAGTGTTTAACATGATAACATTAATGTTCCAACTACAGAAAATTCTGCAAGTTTGGTCTGCTTTTCAGGAAAGTGTATCTCACTTCAGTATCTCTAAATTTGTTTTCCTTAGGGTATTCCTCACTTTAACTTTATGGTCCAATAAAGACTGCATAATTCTCATTGCAGAATTACCTCTTTCTGTGGAGTTAAGCAATGCCTAGTACATCATTTACAAGGACTCAGGCTTGATCTCATCTAGATAAGCAAGCATTGCTGTGTTTCCTGTCAGATTTGTTCAAGAACTGATTTTACACGATTCAGTGCAAAGTGGAATGTGCTGGAATATCTTGGGTCAAAATCAGGGCGAGATACTTGGTGATCAGTTACAGTTTATTTCAGAAGCTGGTGGAGGCACTGCACTGTATGCTCCACGATACTGGAAGACAGAAAGGAAATTTCAGGTGTTAACAAACCATGAAACACATTACATACTGTACACTGCAATTACTTGTACTGAGCGGTCACTTGTCAAAAATCATCATTCACAAAAAGATGCAGGGCATACTGACATGTGGACGCTCGTTGCTATTTCCCATCTTTTAGGACATCAATGTGAAATGTGATTCAGTAGTTTTTGACAGTGATTCCATCTGAAGGCGTTCTATCAACCTTCTGCATTATCTCTTTTTTCCCTTAATTCTGCTCAGCCTTCCTTTCTCACTGTCATTTCCTGAAACTGTATACAGAACTGGGGCAAAGGGGCTTGGTTCCACATGTCAGCAATGTTTTTAGCAGTATTTCACTGATGCAGCAGCCCCTAAAAGTTGAGTGAAAATGTGGAGGTGAAACTGGAACTCATGAAACTCATGAAACATGGAACTCATACTGTGGCTTTGCTGTCAGGGGGAGAGTAAATGGAACAAGAGCTTTACATTCATTCCTAACTTTTCCACATTTCACCTACCATTTTGGCCTTTCAACTGCAGAATTAACGATTAAGACTTTGCTTAAGGTCCATTATTCCAAGACCGAGTTGTGTTCAGAATCTTGGTGATTTAAAAATATTTGGAACACGGGTTCCACTGTAATTAATGCTGGAAACATACTTTACAGGATCTTGTAGCAGAACATAAAATCATGGAATCATAGGATGGTTTGGGTTGGAAGGGACCTTTAAGATGATCTAGTTCCAACCTCCCTGCTGTAGGCATGGACATCTCCCTCTAGATCAGATTGCTTAGAGCTGCATCCAGCCTGGCCTTGAATGCTTCCAGGGATGGGGCACCCACAGCCTCTCTGGGCAACCTGTTCCAGTGCCTCACCTCCCTCACAGTAAAGAATTTCATCTTAATATCTAGTCTAAACCTACTCTCTGCCAGTTTAAAACCATTTCCCCTTGTCCTGTTGCTACCTGCCCTTATAGGAAGTCCCTGCCCATCTTTCCTGTATGCCTCCTTTAGGTACTGGAAGGCTGCTATAAGGTCCCCCCAGGGCCTTCTCTTCTCTGGTCTGAACAGCCCCAAGCTCTCTCAGCCTGTCTTCATAGGGGAGGTACTCCAACCCTCTGGTCACCTTCATGCCCCTCCTCTGGACCCACTCCAGCAGCTCTGTGTCCTTGTGCTGGGGATCCCAGAAGTGGATGCAGTACAGGTAGGAGTGAGAGCAGAGGAGATGGGCAGAATCACCTCTCTCAAACTACTGGTCACACTTCCCTTGACGCAGCCCAAGGTGCAGTTGGCACAACCCAAGATTTGGTTGATCGTCATCATGTATACTGTGAGGCTACACTTCTGACAAATAAACACAAGACATGGTGTGCAGTGTGTGCTGATGATTCACTACTAATTAATATTGGATGCTGAATGTCAAATGGTTTAAGTGGTCAAAATATTTGTGACCCCAAAAGTGCTTTGTTTTGTGTGATTGTGGAAGTTTTGATCTAGCAGTAGCAATGCAGAAGCATTTTTTGTCTTGGAGCTGTGTAGGTTTTGTGCTATGCCCAGCTCAGTGGATCATATGGTCTGATCAATCTGTTGTTGCTGTTACTCGTTTTGGTTTAGTTTTTGTCCATGTGTTTGAGTAGCTTCGGAAAAGATTCTTTATTACAGCATTTGCATGATGTAGTTTGTTTCAGAAAGGAAGTGTATTCTGTAAATTACATATTCCCTCCAGTGCATTCAGAGGGAGAAGACCTGCTGTTTTATACAGCTGACATAAGTGTCTGCCATTACTTTTTTATTATTATTCAAGCTTCTGCAGTCAAGGACTTGTAAACCTCTTTTATATCTTGCATGTTCATTACATATAACAATCACATTAATAAAAACTCCAGAATCAAAACAAATTTGGTCTGAGGCATTCAGCTTGCTGCTGATTTTGATTTAATCAGTAAGAGATGCCAAAAGTTTTCATGAAATTTTGGGTGGTAGAATAAATTACATTAATTTAAAGAGCCTGTAACTTCTCACGGTGAAACCTTCAACTGATTGCTAAAGGACATGGTAGTAACTTTACTGGATTCCAAATAGAAGTAATCTGCTTCTAAAAGTGAAAAAAATTTACTGTAGCTATTAAAAAAGCCTAGCCATCCAACAGCCCCAAACTATAAAAACTATCATTTACATAGCCTGAGTATATGTTGAAAAAACAGCTCCAGCTTCATGTTATTCTTCAAGCCAAATAAAGAGCCTTTAATTGTGAATGAACTTAAATGCTTACATTTTACCATGCTGATCTCTGTTTCTTTGTGTGTACTGTGAGCAGTAATGACTGCTGAATGAATTGTTGGTTACTTGTAGCAGAATTTTCTCCTGTCTGAGGAGTGTTTCAGTGAGGTTTCTCAGCGTAGGTAACTTGGTGTTGAAAATTTGCTTGTATTTAAGTGCTGCTGAAGAATAAAATGCATGCACATTGAATTTTCTTATGCAGATTTCAGTATGTTTTCCTATCAGATTATATGCGTATAACAAATCTTATATAAGAACATACAGACTGTTGAATTCCATGGTAGCAACTATTCATTTTTAAGTAAGAAACATGAAAGTATAAGTTAGATTGCAAGCATTACTCTTCTGCATGTTTGCAGTCAAACATATTGCCTTTTGTAATGGTTTGTGACACCAATCGTGGTGGTACGTAGTAGCCAAGTACTAGCAGTTTTTCCTGATTTATTGAATGTAACTTCCTTTCTGTACAGAAAACAAAACAAAAAAACCATCACTGAAGATCATCAAGCCTGCTATGGTGTTCTAAGAAAGCCCTGCTTTCTTCAGTTAGAATTATTTCCCTAAACTAAATGGAAAGCATTATCATAAATAGGTGTTTTATTTGTTGTTGTTCAGAACGAATATATTTACTAGAAAACATCTACTGAACTTGGCAAGGAATATGAAAAATAACAAGAAGGGATTCTACAGGTGCATTTGTCAGAAGAGACTGGCCAAAGAGAGTGTAAGCCTCTGGTAAATGATGGCACCAAGCTGTGTGGTGAGTTGATATGATGTAAGAAAGGGATGCCATCTAGAGGGACGTGGACAGGCTTGACAAGTGGGCACATGTGAGCAGAATGAGGTTGAACAAGGCCAAGTGCCAGGTGTTGGTCGTGGATTGGTGCAGT